CAAGAAGAAAAAAACTTTATGACCCTACTTATGTGAGTTGAAGTAGTTCAGTTCCTTGACACTAAAAATAGAATGGTGGGTACAAATAGTTGAGGGGATAAAAATAAGGATGGGGCACCAGGCGAGAAAATAACAAAAATAATCAACAACCATAGACCAGAGACATTCTGTGGGGGTGGAGTGGGGAATGGGATCAAAAACGGGGGGGGGGGGGGGGAGGGAAAATGCACGGGACTATGGTGGTGGCAGGGGTGATTTGGTGATGGGAAACCCGTGGGGATTACAATTGAGATGAAAAAAAAATGTGCAAAATGATGTAAAAATAAACTTTTTAATAATTAAAAAAAATAAGGATGGGGCTTTTTAAAAATGGGGATAAAGTTTCAATTTTACAAGATGAAAAAACTGTGGAGAATTGTTGCATAATGTGTGAATATATACTTGACTCTGCCCTTAAAAAACAATTAAGATGCTAAATTTGTTAAGTGTACTTCACCACAACTAACAAATGTTAACACTAAAACTAAATACAAGTTCAGAAAATTTCTCTCCTCTTCATTACCCCTATAATTTTTTTCTATAGCAGCTACCAGCACGAAATTATTTACTTACACATACATTGTTACACATACAGAAGTATGACTAACCCTGTCTGTGCTCTGGATTCTCTCCTGTAAGGTACAAAATCAGATGATTGCTTTTCTCTTACACATTCAATGTCTTAACTAAATTGCCCCCACCAACTGGTACAAATTTCCTTTTAGCAAATGATTTCCCTTCTTTCCTCACAACAAAATAAAATCCTACCAAAAAACTGATTCGATTGTATTCTGTTCCTGATACTTAGTTCTTCCCACTCTACTTTCTACAATTACCAAAATGATAAAACTCTCATTAAGGTGACCAGTGACCTCCGCATCAGTAACTTAAGGACAGTTCTTGTTCTCACTTTGACTTCTTAGCAGCATCATTCTATGCTGAAATCTACTTTCCTTCATTTTTTGAGCACACACATGGTTTTCTTCCTTACCTCCCACATCTTGTGTTCTTTGCAAGTTCATCTTCTACTACATGCCCATTAAATGCTGAACTCCACAATATTGTCTTATACTGTTCTCACTCTAAATACAGGACCCAGATAATCTTATCCTCACCCACCACCAAAAACAGGTACTGGATACTGGGTTCCAGACTAGTGTTTTCGATTGTCCTACTTGTCTGTTTAGATGTTTCAACTCAACCCAAACTGATCTTAGCACCCTTTACTCCATTTGACTTCTTCCAGTATTCCCTAGCTTGTTACTGCCACTCATCAGTTATTACAATCTAGAACCTGGAAATCATTCTTGAGACTCCCCAAATTTCAGATCTAAGACAGCCAATTCCTTTCTATTTTAGCTGCCAAGTTTCTCACATTGACCTATGGACCAAAGCTATTCCCTATCTCCTAAATGCCTAGAACTTATTAACTTGTGCTCTACACACCATTAAACCCAAAGTATTCAAAGTCCTTTCCTTACCAACTAGTGATTGTTTCTAATACAATTCTACCATCCTGCTTGCTTACTTCCTTTTGCCCTTAGAAAATAAAAACCTTTATATAATCTGGCCTTTGGGTCTAGCCCCTAGCCCTCCTCTTCCCTAAAAATCATTATTTTTTGCTGTAGTTATAAAGCATGATCTTGAATAAGATAATTTCCATTCAATATGTCAAGCAGTTCCCCCCAATGTTTTTAAAAATTGATCTTGAACAAATGAACATTAGAAGAGATACTTTTGTTATATTGTTGCACTTGGAGTCCCAATTTTCAAGAGAAGAAAGTGAGAACTATACTTGCTTTCATTCCACTGAACTCCCAAGTGCTTCCTACACACTGTACATAACTGTTTTTTCTGCTAGAAAGTTTTCCCATTAACTCCTTTTTCATTACTATCAGATGTATAATTTTAGGGGTCCTCCCTGGTGGCACACCAGGTTAAAGTGCAGCACTATGAGGCTTGAGGCTAGCCGCAGCTGCTTCAACACGTTTGATTCCCAGCCAGGGAGGTGACCCACATGGTGCAGACCTCTCCTGTCTCACCCACTGCTCCCCTCAGCAGTGGCCTTTTGTCAATCTGCCTGCTCTGCTCCCCACTCTGTCTCCAGTGAATCCTCTCACCACAGCCCCCTGCCCCACACCTCTGGCCTGTACTCCAGTTCTATATGCTTAAATAAATCTTAAAAAACAAACAACAGGCCCTCCCTGGTGGCGCAGTAGGTTAATGAACTGCAAAAGAAGCTTAAGCCACTTCCGCCGGAGACCACATGATGTGGCAGACCTCTCCTGGCCCACCCGCTGCTCCCTTCAGCAGTGTACTTCGTTGATCTGCCTCTTCTGCTCCCCACTCTGTCCCTGGTGAATTCTCTCACCCTCCGCATCTCTGGCCTGTACCCCAGTTCTGTATGAATAAATAAATCTTTTAAAAACAACAACAACAAAAGATGAGTAATTTTGAGAAAACTTCTGATAATAAAATCTCCACAGGGTTGTTGAGTTGCTCAGATCAGTGGCTGGCACTACAATTCCATTATCTATCACCTTCCTAACTCAGCCAATTCCTCTATTATGGATCATTGTATACCTTTTTCTAGTATCTTTTACTTTTAGTCCTATTCCTATGTTGTTGTTTTTTTAAAGTATCCTGCACATAGCATACTACCTGGCATGTAGTCAGGTGCTCAAAGGAATTTAATGTTTGTAAGAGTGTAGTAAAAAATTCTTACAAAGATTGAAGACATGAAAAGGATATAGTTAATAAAATTAGAACTTATGAGGAAAACTAGGCTGAAACCAATAACGAAATTTATAAATTCTTTTATTTGTTTGAAAAGTCTATAAATGCTTTACTAAGTCGCAGAGCTAATAACAAAGGGAGCCAAGGTTGTTAACTAAACCACGTATCTAAATGAATCTGGAATATATGAAATAATCTCCACATTAATAGAATTGTGTCCAGATAACAGAATGTTTCCAGTCTAATGTATTAGAAACTAGTCACACCACACACTATTCCTGAGGTCTCTGAAATATATGAAGCTGACAGCAACCTAGTCCAGTAACTACTTTATAAGCAGGATGGCTGAAATGCATGTGGTGTTCAGATCGCGGAAGGGAGCTGATAAAAACAGATCCATCTCCTTCAACAGTCTGCAAATGACAAAACAATCTATTCTGAATGAAGTTAACTTATAATGATTGCCATTTAAAAGATACGACTTTTGCTCAACACTAAGAGAAGACATGGTAACAATTGTAAAGCTATTTAGCAAAGTGGAATAGGCATCATTGGAGTGAACATCTCATTTGCTTCTCAAACTCTTCCAAATCCCACTCCTGCATAAATGTTTTCATAAAATGGCCTGCCTCAAAATTCTGATTTTATCTTTAAAAAGTTAGGCAAACTTTTTAAAGGCCTAGTAGATTGTCCCAGGCTTATATGGTTATGGTTATAAACCTGTTTACTTACCATCAAGTAAAACTGATGTCCTATTTTTGAGGCATCACAATGTTACTTGGAACAGACCCATTTTTTCTTAGGGTACCCCAGTTTGGAAAAAGATAATTACTCAAGATGGATGGCACTTTGATAGTTAGAGAGATAGTAAAAAGAAATTCCCTGCATGTAGATACGCATACTTAGTATGACTCAGTATTATTTCCTCTGCTTTTAATCATTTTTGATAAACTTGTTAATGTCCTGAGGGAGTCTCTTTCAGCACTTCACATCAGTAGTTCTCAAAGTTTGTTGTTATTTTCTGATTACCTTTACTGATCCAACTCTAGAGAATTTAAATATCTTCAACTAAAAATATCTGAAAAACACTGCTGCAGAGGGACTGTTAAGATTGTGAGCATTTAATTAATGCATTTGATTAGTTCACATACCTTGTGTGAGGGATTAAGCCTCAGGGCTATTACACATTCCTTTTTTAATCAAAGAATAAATTTAAGAGGGTATATAATCTATATTCCCATTTCTTTTACAGTAGATGGGGCTTAGCATTACCTGAAATTCCCACAGAGTAGTAATATAACATGTGCGGTGAGGTCTTGTTCTGATTTCTCCTAAAAGTGAGAATGTCTCCAATCTCTGTCTTAATGCATCTGAGGAAAGCCTGGGACTGTTTGCACAACCAAAAGGCATGAACCAGGCTCTATAATTTGAGTGAAATTTCTGTCACATTTATTAACTTATACACCAATTTCTTTAAAATATATTTGAAAAAAATATATTTGAATTAGAAGTATACAAAAGTAAAAATAGTTATATACTCAAAAAGTTCAGCTACTCTTTTGTTCCTTTAATTAAGATGTTATAGAGCCACCACATCTGTCCAGCAGGTCAAAACTTTTAGGTTTATTTCAAATTACTCTTATACTATTATTTGTTTTCAAGGGTTAGCTAGGCCTTAACTAAAATTTGTGGGTTTTTTTTTTTTTTGAGGGCCATATCATATTATTGTCTCAAGTGGCCTTTGCCTAAGTATATAAACTTGGTAAACAAAGAATGTTATGTGATGATGAAGTCAGAGATTGGGGTGATAAAGTTAAAAGCTAAGGAATACCAAGGATTTCCAGCAATCGCCAGAAGGCATGAAGAGACAAAGATTATCACCTAGAACCAACATAAGAAGCATATCCCAGTTGCCATCTTGATTTCACGTCTGGTTGCCCAAACTGTACAGCAAAAATTTCTATTATTTTCAGTCATTTGATTTGTAGTACTTTGTTACAGCATATTTGGTAGTTAATTATCACAAAATAGTTTCAAATTTAGTACTGTTATTGCTAATCCTGGTTTGTTAAGCAGGAAGATACTGAAATATGGTAGCAGAGTAATGCATGATCTACCTCTACTGTAGATGATATGCAAAAAATAATTCTAAATTTAAATTAATTATAAAGAAAATAAAACCAGGAAATTAAGTTACTTTTAGAAATAAGTTCTTCAATATTTTATCATATTTGATAGCAGCTTTTTTTTATTGGTTACAAAACCTAAGCCCATATACAAAATTAGGAACACATTTAGATGCCTCTTTTGAAAGAATGTTTTAGTCTTTTTTTAACTGAGTTTAAAAAAAATAAAAACAATGCAATTTTTTCAACACTGTTTGAAAACATAAAAGTGCAGCAATATACTTAGCTTCCTTTATCTACGAAATGGTGCAATTCCAATTCCAAACAGATAAGGTCACAACAAATCGGATCAAGCAAGTGCATACGTAAGTCTGCATTACTTGATACTAATGTTTACTTATGTTAGTTCGCACTTAAAACACAAGAGAATATAGGAATCTGCACATTAGAGGCCCAATTTAATCTCAATGTGTGCAAAACTTAAAAGGTAACTGTCAGTAAATATGGAGAGTCCAGAAGAAACTAAACCAGAAGGGGTACAATTCACAATATCAAGAAGATTTGGACTTTAAGGGTTTCACTGAAGTTTGTGACCTTAATAGCTTTGACTTTGTTATTCCTACTTTTAGTGAACACCACACAGTTTCAAAAATTTACAGTGTCTGAACAGGATGCAGTTACCATATGAAGCTTTAACTCAAAAATTGGATAAAGAAAAAAAGGCACAATGAACTTCAACTCAATTTTATGTGCACAAGAGTTGAAAAATCTGAGCCACCTTAAAGAGAAATTGGTTCTAAAATTTATAAAACCTATAAATAATCAGAGGCCAAACCACTATATTAAAACAGATTCTCTAGCAAGTAAAAATCTTGCAGTTTAAACATACGCTTGTATCTACTTTAGATACAAGACAAAACTCACTCTTTAAAGTGGCTCCACCTTGGCAGATACATATATTTGTAATGAATGCACACCTGCTATGTGTTGTTTATCAGTGAAAACACCCCAGCTGATGGCATCTGTCTCATCTTCCTCAAAGTAAATACAACCCCCATAGAATAACTAAAGTAGTTTAGATTTTCTATCCCTTCACATCAATGTATTAGGGAATTATATATACCCAGTAAACAATAGCAACAAAACCGTTTTTTGTGATAGCATAAGTTATTCAGTTTAAAAAATTTCAAATCCATATTCTTTCATTAATAACTGGGTGAGACAATTTACCAAAAAGCAAGGACTTTACATAGTAATACCAGATTTGCAGCATTACCTAAAGATCACTGCAAATCAGGTTTATGTTAAATAACTGCAGATTATTCCTCTACACAGATCCTTGTCTGAATCTTTTAATATGTGACTATACTTTTAGAGTAGGATCTGAATTAACTTTCCCAATACTTAAAGAATGAAGTTTTATGACACTTCTAAATAGTTGCTGGTTTGTTGCCAACCACATTATCAAAAGCACTGGTTACTAAGTAAAAAATATTTTAAGACTAAATTACAGTAAACATGAAAGCTCCACAGTTTAAACCCAATATAAATCAACCATATCCAATTATCAATTTAAAATGAAAAATAACAACTCCTGAAAGCTGAAAGCAAGATTTTTTCTAACATCACCAATGGTTACTATTTAGACCTTCGCTTTTTATTCCTCTTATAGTCAGGGACTCTTGCTTTCAACTTAAACAGAAGTTCAAGTCCGTAACAGGTTGCAGCTCAGGTAAAATACCATGCACAGCATTTGATTACTTCAAAACAGCAGGAACACACAGGCTGAAGTGAGTGGTCAAATAGGGCTTGCTGTTCTCAAAGAATTAGGTATAATGGCAAAAGCATTACCATCCATAGCTAAAGTTCTTCCTCCAACCCTGGCTTCTGAGGCAGATAATAAACACATCAATTACTGGTAGATGAAGTACAGTTTTTAAAACTTATCTGTTTAATCAATAACCAAGTTTCTTTTTTGTGTGTCAGTTCCACCAATGAAAATCATTTGGTTTGTACTTTAAAATCTATTCTTCCACATAAGAATATGAAAATATGTTTGTGGAGGATAATGATGGAGGCTCAGGTCAGACTGCACCTCTTTAAAGTCTTCCAACGTGTATATGCATCATACCAAAATGTCTTGATCCACAGCGCACCATTTTCCAAAGGAATATCAAAGTGGGCAGCTGGCATGCCACCACTATGGAATATTCTAAACTGGAGACTGCAGTTGTCAGCGTGTGGCACCAGGGAACAGGGAAAGGTAGGGTAGTTGAGATTGGTAAGGAGAATTCTAAAACAGTTTAGGAAATCATGCATATGCATTTACAGTCCATGTGATAGTGACTTTTGGCAACTGCAAAGTGACTGAGACATGGCTTGCTTTAAAAGCATCAAAACGAAGAGGCATGTGTGTTTTGGAGCCTTTTGTTGTTGTTCTTGTCATTTGGTAGCCATCTGGTGGTGCTTCGTATTGAAAGTGGGAAAGATGCTGCACTCAACTGAACTTAAAAATTAAATTCTTTTGTTTGAAGATTGGCTGTTGGGTCAAAATTGTAAGTACCTCCTTGTGTTGCTTCAGGAATGAGGCTAGGATCTTCATCAATCTATGAAAAAAAGAAAAAAAATTCCTTATTATGTTAAGATCCTATCCATTATAAGCAGAAATGATTTATTTCTTAGAAAAGAATTTTCTAAGAATGTTTTAATCACCTAAATTATTTAAATATATCAACAATAATAAGAAATTCAAGAATTTACAGTCAAAACACATCTAAAAATTATCCTTTTTAAGTTCCTATTGCTGTAGATTTTACCTACCTGAATATACATCATTTATTGCTTTTTTAAAAAAAGATTTATTTATTAATGCATACAAGAACTAGAGTATACACCAGAAGTGCAGGGGGATGAGATGTTTCACCAGAGACAGAGTGGGGGACTGAACAGACAGTTCTACTGAAATACACTGCCGAGGGGAGCAGTGGGTGAGTCAGGAGATGTCTGCTGTACCATGTGGGTCAGATCCCTGACCAGGGATTGAGCTCATGCTACAGTGGCTGGCAATAGCTTCACAGTGCTGAGTGAGACTTAACCCCTTGTGCCACCAGGGAGGCTCCCTGAACATACTTCATTTCTAAAATTACTGTTTCTTCCCATTTAGATCACAAATGCAATAAAAATTATTATTACGACTTACCTATAGTGAAATTTCACAGTATTTAAAAAAAAAATGGCTGATGAAAAACAACTAAATTTTCTTAATTTAGATTTTTAAAAATAGCTGGGAAAATACCACTTCAAGAGTATCTAACGGAAATGCAGTATAAACTTAGATCATATTAATGACAAAAGAAAAATTCTTACTAAATTTGCATTTATAGATTTTAAAATACATGCAAACAAATTGTACTTACATCATCACCAGAGAAATACTGATCTATGATTTCAAAAGCTAATTTATATATGTCTTCATTTTCATGTTGCTGTAAAACTTCAATTTTCTCCAAGCCTAACAGAAATAAAATAATCAAAATAATTAAGCATCTCTTATTAAAAACTACTCAATTCAACCATAGAAAATCCTAAGGAACTCAGAACATCCTCCCACCACCCCCCAAAGATGATAGTTTGTCTAAAAAACAGATAAAAACCTGAGCTGCTCTGGTTGGAGGACCAGCATCCCACTAATTTCTTCCTCTTTAGAAGCCCTTGAGGTACCCTGGTCCCTGAAGCAGGCAGTTTAAAAAACACCTAAACACTCCATTTGACAGATGAGGAAGCTGTGGCACAGAGATGTAAAGGGATTTATTTCAGGTTGCATGGCAAGTTAGTGACAAAACTAGAACCAACTCTCCCCAGACTGCTTTAAAAATATACTCAAACGGCTGACTAGTAATTTTTCTTTCTCTTTGTTTTCCAAATGTAATTATTTTTATATAACAAAAATAAGTTTCAGAATTTTCAAGATAAATTGGTCTAGGCAGAAGATAAGCCTTAAAATTTCAAGTAATTTCTTTAAAAAAAAGAAAGAAAGAAAAGAAAAAAGAATACAGCGCTTACATCCCATGGCTGGAATGAACCTGGGAATAATTTTTCAGAACAGTAACTATAGGGTCCCTTCCTCATTTATATTCCCAAAACATTTTACTCCACAAATCAGATTTGTCAGTATAAATTCATAATATTTTTCTTTGAAATATATTTTTATGTTTCTATTATTTTTAGCTAAGTTATTTTGAAATAGTTGCATTTTTTCTTTACTTAGTAATATATAAACCTGAAAATGGGAAAACAGGCATTAAAGAAAATGAATTTGTTTTATAAAATACTAAGAAAATATGTACCCTAATTATAAGTATTACTGTCATAGACAGAACCAACTGTACTGATAAAAAGTTGAATAACAATTCCATAGCTCAAACTTTCTGGGTTAATTTGTTCTGAATTTGTCTACAATGATAATTTCAAATTACCTTAAAATGTCCTAAAACCAGAACGTGCAGTGAATAGCAGATGTGGATTTTAATTTCTACTAGAACTACTTCTATGATCATGGACAAGACACCTTAACATCTCTAGGATAATTTCTTGTTACTAAGAGAATACTTCCAGTTTGAATATTCTATGATGTTACAACATTCTCTTAAAAAATAGTAATCATACATATCAGTCAACAAAGTGTACAAAATAAGACATTCTATTAAGATAAATTAATTTATGGTTTGTGTAACTTAAAATAGTGAATAGGTACCTTTAAAAGTAAATTTTAAAATATATATTTCATATGTCATTACTACAGTAACTTCTGTGGTAATGACTTTAGCATATAGTTCTGACAATTGTAATAAAATATCCAGATTACACTAGTTATTTTTAAATAATAATCATAATAATCAAAATATCTAGATGAAGAATGTTTCACTGTCAAGAACTGTGCTGGATTAAATAATTAAGTTTCTCTAACTATATGATTTCTCAGAGCTTTATATTTGCTCTGGTGCTCTGTGCCTTCACAGGAGTATTTGTTTTCTAAATAAAGCAATGTGAATCTCTCAGAAAGTTATGAAGTATAACTAGTTTTCTAGTCTATTATTTTTGGAAAATCTTCTTAAAATGCTTATATAGTAAAGAACACACTTTGGCAATTTAACAATAATGTATCTAAATAGTTTTCTTTCTAATTAGCATCTAAAGAAATTGTTTCAGAGTTTTGGTGTTCAATATTCTTCAATAAATCCAATCTTACCTCCACATTCTTCGATTATTTCAGCTATTGTGCTTGCTTCATCACCAGCCATGATGAGAATGTTTTTCAGACCATCTAGAACCACCTGAACAACTTGAGAATCTTTTACTGAGAGTAAATTACAGAATGGTGGTATTACATTCTGTTGTACAAGGTACTCAACCTGGACAATAAAAGAGAAGAAATATTTTTATTTATATAATTATCTTTCCTTCTCAATGACTACAGGGTTTACAAACAATCAACTCCTAAACATAAAGGAGTGGTATATTTTCTAATATTAACAATCACAAGTTAGTTTTTCCAAACTCACTTGATCTTTTCTGCCACTTATCGTTAAGTTGCTAATTGCCCAAGCAGCTTCTTTTTGTGTTCCAAAGTCACCCTGAAGGTTAAAAAGGCAATCATAAAATAAGTTCTTTATTCAAAAAAGCTTTGGTTATGAACAAACATAATAAACTCATAATATGACTGACCTTAGCAAGCTGATGAATAATCATAGGGATTAGTCCAGCATCTATCACAGCTTGAACTTGTTGCTGGTTGCCTGCAGTTATGTTGGAAAGGAACCACACTGCTTCCTATAATTAAACAAAATACAGGGCACCCTTATTTGAACATTTTTATCTTTAATTCACTTTTGTTTTGATGTTACTTATACATACAATAACAAAATATGAGCTGCATTATGGAGGCTGCATCTAACAGTTACATAGTTATACAGACACTCTCATTTTTAATATGTATATATTGTCTACGTCATCCTTCATTTTTGTACAATATATGATTTCCCCAGGAAAATTCCACCACCAATTCATCTGTATACCATCACCATAGTCCCCTGTGCTCTTCCCACCCTGTCCTGATCTTCTGACGCTTCCATTTATTTTTTAAAGTTTTATTTATTTATGCATACAGAATTGAGGTATAGGAAAGAGGCACAGGGTGAAAGGGTTCACCAGAGCTAGAATGGGGAACAGACTGACAAAGTACACCGCAGAGGGAAGCAGTGAGACAGGAAAGGTCTGCTGTGCCATGCGGATCACCTCTGGGGTGTGGGATTGAACTTGCACTGAAGCGGCTGTGGCTAACTTATAGTGCTGTGTCCTAACCTGTTGTGCCACCAGGGAGAGCCCGACTCTCCCATTTAAACAAGCCTCAAGGATAAATTTTCTAACCATAAAATTAGGCCTCATCAACCTAACATTTATCCATGTTATAAGATATATGCTTACTACAAACAAGCACTATTATTTTTTAAAATATATTTTTACCACTGTCCATTTTTGTACAATATGTGTTTTTTCATCTCGGTTGTAACCCCCATGGGATTCCCACCACCAGTTCACCTGTGTGCCATCAACATAGTCCCTTGTGCTCTTCCCATCCCTGTTTTGATCCTATTCCTCTCTCTACCCCCACAAAATGTCTCAGGTTTATAGTTGTTTGTTGTTTTTAGTTTTTATTTTATTACAATTGTCTCCTCCCTACCCCCAACCCCTATACCCCCTCTTATGATCCCTTCCAGCGCCATTCCTATTGCTGCAAATGGCATGTTGAGCATTTTTGACTGCCGAGTAATATTCAGATCATTGTGTATATATACCACATCTTCTTGATCCAGTCATCATTTTTTTTGGTATTTGGATTGATTCCATATCTTACCTACTGTAAATAGTGTTGCAATAAACATAGGGGTGCAGGTGTCCTTCTGAATTAATGTTTTTGTGTCCTCTGGGTAGATACCTAGGAGTAGAATTGCTGGATCATATGGAAGCTCCATTTTTAGCAGTTTGAGAAACCTCCACACGACATTACATAGTGGTTGGACCAGTTTGCATTCCTACCAGCACTGCAGAAGAGTCCCTTTTTCTCCACATCCTCACTAACATTTGTTGTTGCTAGTTATTTTAATATGTGCCACTCTCACAGGAGTGAGATGGTATTTCATTGTGTTTTTGATTTACTTTTCCCTGATAATGAATGATGTTAAATATTTTTCACTGGCTGTTTGCATTTCCTCTTTGGAGAACTGTCTTTTAGCTCTTCTGCCCATTTTTTGATGGGATTGTTCACTTTGTTTTTGTTGAGTTGTCAACTCTTTGTAGATCTTTGTGGTCAGTCCTTTACCATTGGTATTGTGTGCAAAAATATTCTCCTAATCAGTAAGGTGTCTCTTTGTTTTGACTAATGTCTCTTTTGTTGAACAGAAGCTTTTTAGTTTGATGTAGTCCCAGCAGTTTATCCTTCCCTTCACTATCTTTGCTTTGGATGATGTATCTTTTAAAGATGTTACTGAGGTGTATGTCATGTAGTGTTTTGCCAATCTTTTCTTCTATATATCTTATTATTTCAGGTCCTATGTCTAATTCTTTAATCTGTTTTGAGTTGGTTTTTGTGTATGGTATATAATTTTTGTGTACAGCTCATTTTTTTTTTTGCACATAGCAGCCCACCCTTCCCAGCACCATTTGTTAAACTGTCTTTGTTCCACTGTATATTTTTTGCTCCTTTGTCAAAGATTAGCTGTTCACATATATGTGACTTTATTTCTGAGTTTTCTATTTGATTCCATTGATCTGTGTGTCTTTTCTTGTTCCAATACCATGCAGTTTTGATTATTATGGCTTTGAAGTCTGAGGGTGTGATACCTCCATTCCTTTCCTCCTTATTCAGGACAGCGTTGGCTATTTTTTCTGGCTCCATATAAATTTCATCAATATTTGTTCTATTTCTTTGAAGAATGTTACTGAAATGTTTATTGGAATAGCATTCAATCTATAGATTGCTTTTGGTAGGATGGCTATTTAAATGATATTAATTCTTCCAATCCATGAGCAAGGAATGTCTTTCCATTTCTTTCTATCTTCTTCTAACAATGTTTTCTAATTTTCTTTTTTTTTCCTAAAGATTTATTTACTTACACAAGAGCTGGGGTACCAGCCAGAGGTTTGGGGGGGGGGGTGAGAAGATTCACCAGAGACAGAATGGGGAGCAGAAGAGGCAGATGTATTGACAATACAATGCTGAGGGGAGCAGCGGGCAGGACAGAAGAGGTCTGCCATGCCATGTGGATCATCTCCCTGGCCAGGGATTGAACTCATGTTGTAGTGGCTTTGTATAGCTTCATAGTGCTGTGCTTTAACCCACTGTGCCACCAGGGAGGGCCCTATAATTTTCTTTGTATATGTCCTTCACCTCTTTTGTTAGGTATATAACCAAGTATTTGATCTTTTTGTTTTAATTATAAAAGGGATGGCTTTCTTGATTTCTTCTTCTTCAGACTGTTTGTATATAGGAAGGCTACTATTTTTTGTGTGTTGATTTTGTATCCTGCTACTTTACTAAACTGGCTGACTATTTTATAAGTTTTTCTGTGGTGTTTTGGGTTTTTCTATGTATATTATCATATCATCTGCAAACAGGGATAGTTTTACTTCTTCATTCCCTATTTGGATTCCTTGTATGCCTTTTTCTTGTCTTATTATTCTGGCCCAGACTTCAGTATTAGATTGAAAGGCAGTGGTAAGAATGGACATTTTTGTCTTGTTCCTAACTTGAAGGGAAAGAATTTAAACTTTTCACCCTTGAGTGGACATTGGCTATGGATTTGTCACATATGGTCTTTATTATGTTAAGGTATGTTCCTTCTTTCCAGAGAATTTCAAAAGCCTTTATCATAAATGGATGATGGATTTTAAAACAAGCACTATTTTAAACTATGTTGACAATGAATAAACCAAGTAAACAAGTTATCTTTGCTAATGGAGCTTACACTTTTGGTGCATTAGCTCACTCTGAAAGACAAGATGATAGAAATTAAAAAATGAATTTCATAAAACTTTGTTAAAACTACTTCTAAGAAAGGTAAAATGCTTTATTGTAAAAATCATAAGATTTCTCTAGGAATTAAGCATCTAAGGAACCTAAAATGGAGCTAAACAACAAACAGGTTTAGGGTAACTTCATAGTGTCAAATTAATTTTTCTAATTAAAGGAATTAAAAGTACAGACTCAAACATCTGTATGGCAATGCTCATTCCAGTATTATTTACAATAGCCTAAAGCAGAAACAAACCATGTGCCCACCAACAAATGACCTGATAAGACTTCAAAGTATACTATAAAGCTATGATATGACAAAGGAGCCAAGAATAGTTTTAAAAAGGAGAGCCTCTTCAGTAAATGGTGTTGGGTAAACTGGACAGCTACATGCATAGCATGAACCAGACCACAATCTCACACCACACACCAAAATTAACTCAAAATGGAGAAAAGACTTGGCTATAAGACCTGAAACTATAAAATATGTATTAGAAAGTACAGGCAAACCATTTCATCACATAAGTTTCAGTGATGTCTTTATGGATTTGTCTCCAATAGCAAGGAAAATGGAAGGGGATATAAAACAATTGGTTCCATATGAAACTAATAAGTTTCTACATAGCAAAAGAAATGATCATGAAACCAAAGATATACTCCACTAAATGGGAGATAGTTCCATACCATTTCTCTGACAGGGACTGATATCAAAGGTCTACAAAGAGCTCACTCAACTCAACAAAAAGAAAACAAAATAATCCAACCAAAACAGCAAAAACACAAAGAAGATAAACAGATGGGGCCCTCTCTGGTGGCACAACGGGTTAAAACACAGCACTAAGAAGCTAAAGCCACTTCAGCATGAGTTCAATCCCGCCCTGGAGGTGATCTGCATGGCGTGGCAGATCTCTCCTGACCCACCCACTGCTCCCCTCAGCAGTGTCCTTTGTCATGTGCCTGTTCTGCTCCACTCTGTCTCTGGTGAAGACTCTCACCGCTCCTGCATCTCTGGCTTATACCTCAGTTCTGTATGCACAAATAAAAAATAAATCTTAAAAAGAAAAAGAAGAAGATAAATAGATGGCCATCAGGCACATAAAAAACTGTTCAGCATCATTCACTCATAGGTAAATGCAAATCAAAACCATAGTGAGATACTACCTCACACCTGTGAAATGACCCATATTAAAAAAAAAAAAACAGAAGTGCTGGTGAAGGTATGAAAAAAAAAGGAACCCTCTTTACACAATTGGTGGGAATGCAAATTAGCTGAGCCACTATGGAAAGCAGTATGTAGGTTGCTCAAAAGATTTAAAAATGGATCTGCCATACAACCAATCAATCTCATTCCTAAGTATTACCCAAAGAATACAAAAACACCACCTCAAAAGGAAGCTTGCACTCCTATATTTATTGAATGCTATTTACAATAGCCAAGGTATAGAAACAACCTAAGTGTTCCCCAAACAGATGAGTAGATCAAGAATAAACTATAGTAAATATACACACAATGGAACACTACTCATTGATCAAAGAAGATAAATACATATCATTCGTAGAAACAATGGAAGGAGCAGGAAAGAATTAAGCTAAGCAAAATATGTCAGAAGAAGGCAAATGTTGGTATCACTTATATGTGGAATATAGAGAAACCAAAGTGTCAAAGATTTTAAAATCAACCCCTGAAAGTGAACCACACAACTGAGGCATTCAAAGAAGGGGAAAGAGGGTAAGAAGAGGGTGGGGAGACAGTACAATGGAATATGGTGGAAGACTAAGGACCATAGGTGCTCTGTTGAGGGCTACACTAAGATGACTACACCTGAAGGGGGATACTACACTTTCAAAATACTTATAACTACATAAATCAATGGCACTTCGATTAAAAAGATAACTGGATAAATAAAATATACAGGTTCAATGGAATACTTATACAACCATAAAAAGGAATGAAACTCTTCTACAATCTAATTTCATAGGAGATTAAATTATGACCTATATTTTATAAAAGACAGAAGTCATCTAATAAAGATTTTATATGTATTCTCAACTAGTGACTACTAATTTACTGCTTTTTATTACTGCTCAATCTAGTCAATAAAAATATTGGTTAGTATAAAAATTTTCATTATGTAATGTCAAGGCAGCAATGAAAACAAATAAATATTGAATCAAAATAACTGTGAGGTGATTTGAAATAGTTTTCATCTTTAAATGTAGTTGGTTTCGAAGAAAATCTCAAATAAAAGAAACAATAGAGCAGTTAAAATGAGTATACAAAGAGAAAGAAATGCAATATGAGCTTACCTTATTGATCTTCTCTTTTGGATGTGATAGCAGATTTGGGAAGTGTGACAGGACATCACAATTGAGAACAACCTGTGTCTGTTCATCAGTACCAGTCACTATGTTGCCAACCGCTCTGAGTGCTGCTGTCTATGGTAGGGATAAAATGTTTTCTATAACATTACTTGCTTATAATGAAATTGATTCTATGTATTTTTATAATCTTTAGAAACTATAAAAATGAAAGGCATGAATAAGTAACACATTTTACACTTTCAAAAAGCATTATGTGGAGTTGAGAAGTGAGTCTGAATTTTAAGTAATAGTCTTATGAAAAATGAAACTGGAAAACAGATTTAAAAAAAGGAAACTAAAAACATGCAAAGGTCCATTTTTAACAGCTGTTTTTTATCCATTACTAATTGGCACCACAGAAAGATTTCAAAGAAGTATGGAATGGGCACTGATTTCCATCTTGAAGTGGGATGAATAGGTCTATCGAGCATCTACCCCTAAATAAGAGTGAGGAGAAAGTGGACAGAGAGGAAGAAATGACATTAGGAGGCAGCTGAAAATATCTTGAAAAAAGAAAATAAGTCTTAAACTCAATCAGTGGCTCTAGGCAGACAAGGAAAATACAGATTTGAAGGCTTTATAATAAGATCAGGATTTTGTAATAAAGAGGAAACACATAGAGAAATCACTTTCTATTTTGGAGTATCCATAGGAAGGACAGCATTTGTAGATGATTATATGTTTTATTTTTGTAAATGACAACAGACTGCTTAAAGGAGTCCTTGGAGAATATATCCAAGGGTACAAAACCTGTATGAGTCTAAACTTGGTCAAAACCCAACAAAATCAGGATCAGTAAAAAAGGAGGAAAGTAGAAGATACATGCATATAGACAGAATTAAAACCATGTTGTATCTGATAACTGATTACAGAAAGAGTTTTATACAAGAACACTTCCAAAACACTTACTTGAACTTTCACTTCTTGGTGGCTCAGAAGGGGCACAAGAAATGGTACAACCCCTGAATCAATAACCATCTGTATCTGCTCATTGCCTCCATCTGTCAGATATGACAGAGCCCAAACAGTATCTACAAGAATCTACATAGAAAAGAAAAAGAAAATTACCATTTATCTATTTATTTGAATGCTCAAAATACCTAACACACTTCAACAGTGGTGAGCAAAAAATGTATTTTTAGCACGGTTAAGAAAAATTTCTGTTTACCTGACAAATTTATTAAGTAGTAGATAACTATCAGGCCTACCTCAGAACACACTTTTTATAAAAAAAAAAAGAGATACTGATGTCAAAGTCAACTTTGATCCCAAGTTCTCTACTTCTCTATCAAATGAATTTAAAAATTCTGAGAACCCACAAATTTAATTTTAATAACCATAAAAATCAACTTTATATACGGAAAGACAATAATACTCTATGCTGCTTCAAGTATAGAAGATGCCAAAAAGATCATCTATGTATGCCAGTGATTTTCACACATGTTCAGCAATATAACTACTTTTGAAACCATTAAATTTTAAAAATTACTTGACATTTTAACTTCATCTGTGAAAAAATTTATTTTCAAAGCCCTTGAAAATATTTTCCCAGTTAAAGAGCACAGTGTGTTAACTATGCCCTAATAACTATCTAATTTTGCAACTAACAAAAAGCAAAAAACAAGCTCAGGTTTGCTGATTCATTCAAAGTCAAAGAGTTTGTATGTAGCTTTCCCCAATGTCTTCACAAAAGACTATTAAGTACAGGTCTTTTGTAAAATCCAGAGGTGTATATTAGGGTATACAAATTAAAAAAACATTTTGTTGCTCTAAAATAAAAGGAGCCACCTGAACTCAAATTTGCCCATTTATACAGATTAATAAGAACAAGTAAATAAATTCATAATGGCCCATATGTTCAACACTACTAGGAGTAAAAGAATACCAGTATCTATAAGAAACCTTTGAAATTTGTAACAAGTTTCAAATTGAAAGAAAATGGGGCCCTCCCTGGTGGCGCAAAGGGCTGAAGCACAGCATTGTGAAGTCGGCCGAGGCCACTTCATGCGAGTTTGATCCCTGGCCAGGGAGGTGATCCACATGGTGCAGCAGACTTCTGTCTCTCCCGCGGCTCCCCTCAGCAGTGTTATTTTGTTAATCTGCCTGTTCTGCTCCCCACTCTGGCTCTGGTGAATCTTCTTACCGTCCCTGTACCTCCGGTCTGTACCCCAGTTCTGTATGCATAAATGAATAAATCTTTAAAAAAATTAAAGAAAGAAATGAAAAAATTAAATTCTGGCTTTTATCTGGAGCTCCTGTACCATGCCTGTGTGTGAGACTTCATAAAAAAGAAAGGGAATTGAGGTAAGAAAGAGCCCAGAGGTAACATACCCTAGTATAGCTATTTCACATTAGTAGGACAGAAACTGTAGGACCTAAAACATCTATGGCATTACTTTACGTTCATTACAGAAAAATTTGCCAACACCTTTACTAGAGGATGAGCTTTACTCAACTATGACTGAAAAAAAAATTTATTATGGATCCAAAACTAAATGTTGGGATAAAAGTGGAAGAATTATTTACAAATGTTACATATTCTACAAAACCAGAAACACTGCCACTTTAAAAGTGGGACGGATGCTATACCCATTTACAACCCCACCACAGGAATAAATGAGGCCTTTCTGCTAGAGGTGTCTGCAGAAACTATATGTGTAAGCTAAGTCTGTCTACTTCCCAGTCTGGTAGTAATAGGTGGTAAGATTTAAATAGAAGTCAGAGTCTCAAAATGCCCATTTGTAGGCTCCAATGGAAAATTGCTTATCATAGCAAGAACTAGGAACATTTCAACTCAAAAGGGAAAAGACCACCAACATGTACCAATAGTAAGGTAACAAAGATATTGGAATTATCTGATCAAGATTTTAAAGTATCACAAAATTATTCCAGTGAGCAATTGTGAAAATGTCTAAAATGAGAAGGGGGGAAAAAAAGGAAGTCTTAGAAAAGAAATAGAAGACATACAGCAGAACCCAATGGAAAATTTTAGTAACCAAACCTAAAGCTCATTGGTAAGGCTCATTAGTAGAATGGAAAGCGGGGAGGGGAAATTCAAAGACAGATCAATAGCAATCCAATCTGAATTAACAGAAGAAAAAGAAAAAGTAAAAAGAACAGAGCTTCAGATAATTACAAAAGCTGTAACATTTGTGTCTCCTAGAAGGAGAGGTAGTCAGAACATATTTGAAAAACAAAAAGGTAAAAAAATTTCCAAATTTGGCAAAAGACATACACTTGTATGTTAAAAAATGGGAGGATGAAGGATAAGAAAATGGAGTAAGTTCTTTAATTTTGTATGGTAATATCAACAATATCATTTAAAACTGTGCCACTAGGTAGTTAAAAAAAGGGCATTATAAAAGAACTAGAAAGGTAACATTAAAATGGAAACAAATCTTGCTAAAGAATTTTCAATGAGTTTAAAAAAAAGCACACTAAATAGAAAGTCAAACCAACACAAATTACACAAGATAATATAGCAGAGTTAAAAACAAAACGTATTGGAGCTCTCCCTGGTGGCGCAGCGGGTTAAAGCACAGCACTGAGAATCTAAAGCCGCTTCCGCATGAGTTTGATTCCCGCCTGCCCTGGAG